TTCTTATCCCAGAATGTTTCTGCAGTTGACTTCCTTAATTTCACTGACTGTCACCTCTGCTTTTTTCATGTGGCTTCATTTCCTGCTTTGCCCCTTTTGCTACATGGCTTTTCCTTTACTGCACAGACTCCTCCTTCACCTGCTGAGCCCTTAAAGAAGAGTATGGCCTGGGCCCTCACTCAGGAGGCTGACTGACTGACTCCCTGACTCTGAGGGGAAACTAGGTCTGATGATGGCCAAGCAAATCCTGCTGTGTGTGTTTAGGGAAGCTCCATGTCTGGGCAGAGCTGGGAAGGCAGGTCAGCATTAACTGTTTCATTAATTGTTTTCCAGGGGAAATGGCAAGGTCACAGAAATGGTCTCACTTGGCATTCACGTGCCTTCTGGCTAAGTTCAGGAGAGGACTTGGCTGTTTTCACATTAAGTAACACTACCATAGCCAGAAGCTACGTGGCTCCTTGATGCCTGATGCTGGAACTTGGCACTGGCACTAGTTATCAAAGCATTCACTTTGAGGGCAAAGTTAAGTCTTTGGTCACCTTCTACAGCTGATAGTAGCAGACTTCTGCTACTGTGGTGAGACTGGTTTTCTTCTGGCTGTCACCAGGAGCATTTGCAGAATCCCCTTGAAGCTTCAGCAACCCAACGAGCTTGCTTCACATAGTGTCCACAGCTGCAGGAGAGCACACAGCTCTGGCCCCACTGCCAGTTCTCTGTGACACCATCTTCCCCTCGGTCGGCCTCCAAATAGCTATTCCACACATCCCAGCCTGTCGCCCTTTCTCCTCAGCAGCCAAGTCAGTCTCTCGTGGCCCAAGTACAACAAATGCCGAGGTCGTCTGCTCAGCTGGCTGTGAGAATTCTGCTTTGCTGGGCCCCATGGGAGCCCAGGACTATTTTCTAATCCTTCCCATGGCCTCCTGGTTTTTCCCTCTGGGCATTCCATCACTGTCTTCCCCCATCCTCCTGAAATTCTCGACACCACTGCCACCCCACGGTCCCCTCTGCCTCCCCCCACCTCCCTCACCACATGACAGGCCTTAGCAACCCCCAACCTTGGTTTCACACCCTACTGCTCCTCCTTTGGGAAGGAAACATACCAATTTTTCTTTTCTTCCACTTCCCCCCCCTCCATGTTTCTGTCCAGGTCTTACTCTCCTCTGTCAAATTCATTAGCCTGACTTTCAGCCCTGTTCCTCTCTTCCTTGCCTGCTTTTACCCTGTGCTGTGGCCACCCCCCTCACCAGACCCCATTTCCCCTCCTTGTGAGCAATTTGACTCTAGCTGCCTTGGAGACTTATTTATTTTAATAAGTACCTATATCCCTTAGTACACTGGATTAATATACCTGCTTATCTCTTCTCCCAGAGATAATTTTTCACATTGTAAATTAACATAGGAAAGGAAAGTCAAAAGCCAAAGTAATAGATTTCTTTTTCAATGCTCTCAGTGGAAGGCTCCTGCAAAGGTACATTTCACAGCACATATATAATTGCATAGGTGATTAGTGAAACAGCTGGGGCAGTGGAAGAGAAGTAAAGCTTCTGTAATTTGCTGAGGCAGTTTACTGGTGTGGCTGAAAATCAGACAATTGCAGAAGTCTGTTCTGGAAACCTGTAAATTTTCTTACTGGTTTGTCAGCTGCCGTGCACTATGTTGGTTGTCTCTTATTTCAGAGCACCACCACAAGCACGTTTTGCTAAGAGAGGTGGGAGATGCCCAAGCACATGCAATTTTTTGCTATTATTGTTGTGAACACAAGAGCCTACGGGGAAACTTCGCTGACTCCTTTGTGGCACTGCCCTTCCCAAGAGCAAAGGGGTCAGGGCATGGTCTTCGAGGTCAGCTCCTGAGTCAGCTGAGGCTCTTGGGTCAAAGAACAGAGAAAACAACTGTCTTGTGTTAAGAAATTTTTATTTGTCCTTTGGATCTGTAATGTAAGCACATAAAATTACAAGTGGAAGAAACATCATGCCACAAAATTGCATAGAATTTTTACAAAAATGTGAATTATGCCTCTGAAACAATCATAGATTGAGGAACCGAAAAATATATACATGTTAACTGAAATATTTCATCCTACTTTGAAAGCAAATCATCAAGGAATAATCAATCACAGACACTACTAATACACTGTACAAGAGCAACACTGATTTCAAAGAAAGGCAAGCAATGATGTCCCTTTAGTTATCTTTCAGTGAATGTTTAGCTAATACATGAGCATTAATTAACATAATTATGAACATGTTAAATCTAAAATGTCTGGCCTTCATTAGAATTTTTAAAATTCTGTTTATACTGTCAAAACCAAGCTATTTTCAGTAGTGTAAAGATATCTGAAGTGCACGACCTAGTTTAATATAGACAGCTCTATTCTATACAGCAGAAAGTCCACAATACAGCATTTCCACACATTCAACACGGAACAAGGCAAATACATAAAAGGCACAAGACTTGCACATCATAAAGACCCCTTTTTCATTATCTTACTCTAGTTCAAGTAATATCAATATTAAATGATATCTGTTTCACTGAAAGAGTTTGAACGATGCAAGATGTACAGTATTACACACTACCTTACACCTGCAGAAAGTGGCACTGTACAGATATAAAAAAACGTGAGTACAGGAAATGGTCAAATACAAACAGACTGTAAAATGACTACAGCTGATAGTATATTTAATCCAACCAGTATCTTTATTTTTCTTTTTAATATAAATAAAAGGTTAATTGGTGTTTGCCCAAGTTTCTTTGAAGACCGTGGTGAAGTCCTGGCTCCACTGAAGTCCACAGGAATGTAGCTCTGAAATTCAAGGGAGCTAAGATTTTACCAAAAAGCCTGTGCTGTACAATGGTTTTTAGAATGCAAGAGTTCTGAGTTTCATTGTGAACACTGCTATCAGTTCATTCTTTTAGTAATTTAGACAATATGTCATTTTTACTTTATAAAATGCAGCATTACATCTTGACTCTCTACGTTTTCAATGAGTAATTAAGATTGATTTCAAAGTGCAAAACAAGGATTAACAGAGGCTTCACCTTTCCTAGCATTAAGATGAAAGTCAGATTTTTGAATTTCATGTTCACTAATTTCAGCATTATAAACCGGAATAGTTTAATCCAAAATATGATCTCCAAACAATGTGCAATTTCTCTTTCTTTCTGCTCTAAGTTTAAAAAAGAAACATCAAAATACTGTTTGTTTTCCAAGATTTGAACTTATATATATATACACAACATTATTTAACTGAAAACTTAAGCTTGATTTGTATTTTATTGCTTAAATTTAAATAAAATAAGTTACTTTGAAGTACTAAAATCCTGAGGGAATGGAAGTAAAGTAATTTAAGTGTTACGATGTATTAAAATGCCGCCCTATGTAATCTACTTCTTTCTCTGATTGCGTTTTAACACAAAGTAAGGCCCTGATCTTGCAAACATGTACATGGACATTATTCCCCAGAACAGCTGCACTGAGCCCAGAGGTGCTCAGGAAAATGCGTTTGCAGGATCAAGCCTCTCGACACAAATCTGTGTCCTTTGAGCTACTTTATCCTTTGCCCTAAGATGCCTTTGCCCTTCAGCACACGGCTGAGGGAAGGGCCTTCAGCATTATGCACTGGCTTGGGTACAAGTAAGAATCTGTCCGTAATGTTTCACAATTCCTATTTATGCTAGTCTGGGAATCCAGATAATAGCATTTCTTTACCTTTTCAAATATCCTGACTTTCACAAAGTTTCTCTGTTGTCTGATATAAATTTCTGAAAATGTGCTGTTACTTCTCTCATGCATATCATACAGTACACTAACTTTGATTGTTCTTATTTTAGGAAGTCAGTTAAATGGATTAATATACATTTTTAAATAACAGTGATCAGGTTTTTATATTTTGCTTTTAAATTTCATACCTTTGTAAAACTGAACCTCAGTCTTAAAAATAATGGAAGATTCTGTTAAATGTCAAATACTGTAGTCCTAAACATTTTATAATCCTATCAAATTCAGTAAGCTTAAAATATGATACTTAAAACCAATACTTCTGAGTCTGCAAAATATATATCAAATTTATATTCTAAAACTACTTTGATTTACAACACTAACACCACAAAAAGAATTTCATGATTCAATGACTATTTTCTTGCAGTATAACCCAAATGTTAGCTTTCATAAAGCTTCCCTCTATTCATGTATCCCTGAAACATTTCATTTGGCCAAGAGATCAGGCTGACTTCAAATAGAAACATGCTGTATGTGTATATAGACAGATGTGTGTGCACATATACCTATATATATATACAAACATATGTGCACTCACAGAGTCTAACAAATACAGATGTACACAGACATCAACAGTCTCCAGGCAGAGTTCTTCTCTTTGTTTTCCTCTTGTCCCCACAGTTCCAAGAATTTTCAGCAGCAAATATATTTCTTTCCATGTGATAAACATAGTATCAAGACAGCAAGCCACCAGTGCTTGCCAAGTTAAAAAGGATTAAATGTTTCAGTGCAAATGTAAAATGATGGTACAGCTGTCAAGGTGCAGTTATAAAGAAGGAAACAAATATGATTAAGTACTGTTATAATATTCTCTAGGCTCTGTATTAGTTTGGAGCACTTTGCACTGGCACTTCAAAAGGAAATCTGCACACATTTGTCTCCCTACAATACACTAGTCTTCATTAAACATTCTTAACAGTGAATATGGCCAGGAAATTACCCATTGTAAATTGGCCAGAATAAAAAGGAAAAAAAAATAGAGAGGATGGTTAACATATTAATTTTCCCATTACAACTGCACTAAGCTTTAGAATAATAAGATGAAGAGTGCGAATGAAGACCTCTGCACAATACTTTCTATAAAATGTTCCTTTTGGGAAATGTGCACTTGAATGCAGATTCCTCCTGCCTCCTGAAGCGCTTCAGTGGCAGCTCACACTGGGAGAGGGGATGGGCAGCTGGGGAGCTGTGCATCCTGGCACACTGATTGTTGCTTGGGCAGTTACAAAGTAGTATCAAACACTTTTTCTGGATTATCTTCTTCCAATTCCTCTTCGCTTTGCAGAGGTTTATGATTTGATTTTCCACTGTCAGATGCCAGGGAAGAGGGGGCAGAACTGTGGTCTCCATCTTCGCTGATTTTCCCTTTCATGGCTTCCTGTACGAACTCCAGGATTTCCAAAGGCAGTCTTTTGAATTTGTCTTGGTATTCCTGATCAAGTTCCACCTGCAACTACAACGAAAGAGACAAGCTGTCTTCATGTGAATTTAATGAGACCAGTGCTGCAATATGGGGAACATACCACACGAGGCAGGGGGGAAATCAATAATGCATTGTTGCATCATTTCAGAATTTATTCCTTTCTTTTTCATATTAGTGCCACACATCCAGCCCACCCATTGATTTCCATGCAGTCATTGCAAAGCTTAAGGAACATGCGGTCATTTGTGCAAAAGGCTGGTTTTGGGTACCATCATTGGGTACCCAAATCCTTAAAATATATGTGGATTTAACTGGATCGGTGTCCATACTCCCACTGGCTTTCAAAAGACCCTATTCAAGTGCAGTATGGATCACAGATAAGCCTTTGTAAGAACAAGGCCTTTATTAAGCTTCAGGTAGCTAATCACACATTAATCACACCACAAACATTGCTCTGAGGACAATATAATAACTTTTGCCAGATTTCTTGGGTTGGAGAAACCATTAGGAAAAAGCCAGTTGTCGAAAGGAGTCAAAGAGGGAGGGAAGAATAGTTAAATTACATTTCTTAGGGCTGGATCATGGAAAGTTACATTATCTGATTAATGCAGTATGTGTCTTGGACGTTACTGGGGAAAAAGTGTCGTATCATCAACAGGATGCAAAAGGCATGCAGAAAGAAATCTGGCTATCAGTCTTCAGGAAGCTGTGGGCCCTTTCCCAGTATTTTTTCGTATAGCCTTTGTTTTTAGTGCCCATATTAGGATCTGCATGATCCATTATTTAAAAAAAACATCAGTGTGTATGAAGGTTTCAACTGAAGACAAAGCCAATTTTTTCATAATGACCAATATGAGCACAGCAGCAAGCAAGAGGGGTGAGTTGCAGTGCCAAACCTGCTCCATCCGTCCATCCATCCAACCATCCATCCACCCACCTTCTTAAACAGAGGGAGTCAGATTCTGCTAACTGTAGCTGCAGCAGTTTTCACAATAGTTCCTTAGGAAATTGTATTTTGAAATATATTTTTTCCAGGATGAATAAAGGTGTTATGAATTCTGATCCTTCAGCTCTGTGCTTGAGTCTATCGTATCTAGTTTCAAGTCTCCTTCACCCCATTGCAACGGCTCTCAACAGGTAATACAATTTTTCACTGGAACATTGGGACCTATACTACTCTTGCCATCCTTGGTCTGTCCACAGCATGTGACTTTACCACTGCCCCCTCCCTCTGAGCCCTTCCAATCCCATTCCCCATGCTTCTGTCCTGGTTTTCATCCTGCATCCCTGATTTTATTTTTGTGAGGCCTCTTCTCCTTTCTCCTGATGTGCAAATCAACGTCCTTAGCTCACCCGGACTAGTTCTACATTCCTTAATTAGACAAATTTTGCAATTTTTCTTCCTCAAGATCTAAGATCTGGCTTTTTCCTTTTGGTTCTCCTGCTAAAGCTCCTTTCCTGCCTTGTTTCTGGCAATCTTCCCATTGTTCTGGCCTTAGTTTCCCACATCAGGGGCAAAGTGCTGACAAACAGTGGGTCTGAGGCACAAACGGTTGCATTTAAATGCACTCTGCCAATAAAATACGTATTTTTATCAACTGTTAGACAGTCACTACCATAACACCCTTCTTTTTTTTTTTCTACTCTCCTTTGTTTTCAGGCTTTATGTCTAGATACAAGTTTTTGAAGGGATCCTCCTTTCATCCCTATTTTGATAACACTTCCAAGAGTGCATATATTATCAGAGGAAGAGTGTCATAGAGTGGTGGTTGACAGGAAGAAATCACAAATGGTGCTTATCATCCCTCACTTCCCAGCTCACTATGGCCCCAGGACAGCACTCCTGCTGTCCAGTGACCTCAACCACCATGAGGCCACACCTACCCTGGTCTCTGCTTCAGAGTGATGGCACACAACGTAGGCCACGTTGCAAATTCCAAGATTATGTTCTAGGCAAAAGGTCTGCCATCATGATGAAATCATGCTTTTGGTTACAGTTCAATGCTGAATACCCACACTGCTTAAAAAAACAGCTATCAGGTAGAGGGAGATTTATGCCAAACATGGGACAAAACATTCCTTGGGTTAGTCTGAAAGAGCAGTGATGGCATCGTCTTTTCCCGTTCAGGAGCGTTTTCAGCCAGGCTCTGGGCTGCTGATGCAGATCCACAGCAGTGTCCAAGCATGCCACAAAGTCAGTTAAAAAAGTCAGTCCCTGTCCTTCAGGGATAGGCAGCTTAGCATACAACGTACTTTATAAATCTAGAAATCATGGGAAAGGCTCCAAAGCACTGCAAGACAAAGCTTTATATAAGGACATGAATTTCTTTATACAGGAGTGTTTGAGTCAGAGATGGGCTGCTGCATTTCCTCACCTTGTTGTCATTCATGGAATTACTGAATTTGTAAATTTTGGGCACCTCAGGTGTAGAAGGAGGTATCAAATGTCAGAGAAACTCTCCTGGTGCTCAAATTTCTTCAGATCCTTGATTTGCTTAATTAGGTTTAACAGCAATAGAAATATCTGAAATCCCTTAGAAACTGAACATTATCTGAACCCAATGCAACCATAAGCATGTTGTTAGATAGCAGTTGTGTCTAACATTCACCTCCTTAAGTGTCTCCAGTGGATAATCCCTCCTAAATCAAGCATTTAATAGAAATTATATTAATCTGGAGCTACCTCTCTCTCTCTCTTAAGCATCTCCAGAGACAGCCTATATAGCTATCTAATCATGAGGAGATTGAAGTTAGTTGAGATGGAGCAGACAGTAGACAAGGAAGGTTGATTAAAACTGCAACAGTGTGTAAAAATTATTTTCTTTTGGATTTCAAAGGCACCGTCAGTCCTTCCCCTTGCTCGGCTTCAGACAAGCACCTCCAAGTCCCTTCCCTGACCACCAAGCTACCATGCAGGACTCCAGCTGCAATGAAGAGCCCAGTGGGGGAGCCTGGCCCAAACGCAGCTGTCCCACTGCCAGACCTGACCCCTTGCTGAAGTCTTCCTCAGCAAGCCTGCGGCTTGCAAACCCACAACAGAGCATTGGCTATGTTTCTCCTTAAATCACCAGTCCCAGGCACAACTGGCAAACAGTTGTGGGTCAAGGTTAAAGGAACAGATTGCTCAAAAAAGCCAGCTGTTTTTTTCTTTTAAAAGCATAAGTATCCTTCTGTTAGACAGTGATAACCATAGTCTGTGGCTTTAAAGGACTTTGCATTTCATTCACTAGTGGAAAGCTGCCTTCCTATGAGTAGCAGTAGTCATGTATGTCTTTTATTTGGCTTGCTGATGGCATGACAAAGTGCCACATCAGTGTGCATTTAAGTAAAAACCTCTTTGCATGACCAATACCCCACCAGACTCCAGCCCAGTGTGGCCTCACTGTTCAGTTTGCTGTCCCCTTGGGTTGCTTCCTGTCACAATCCACCTACCCCGATTTCTCTGCTCTCTAGCTCCTAAACAAGGTGACCTACACTTGCTTTTAGGATTTTGGAGCCAGACAAAGCTGGGGGGAGGGAATGAGACTGATTATTAGATGAGCAGATGATTATCTGGACCACTGTTCCCATTAACACATAACAGTCTTCTTCCTTCTGTTCTCTCACTATCTGCCCTCTTATAGATCGATCCTCTGTCCTCTCTTTAATCCCCAGCAAAAGTGACTTATTAATGTCACCTCTATGCAGCTTTAGTATCCCATAAGGAGTCAGAAACATTATTTCTTTTTCAGCTAAATCACACTTCTGTTTATTTTACTTACAGGCAATGAGTTAATACTTGAACATTTGGAGCTGTCATTAAGTGCTTGCAGTGGGGACCTTGGAGACAGGAGATGAATGTGTTACTCACTCTTGACAGCCATGGCCAGAAGCTCTAACTTTTGAATGTATGCTTCTGTCTACCTACCCTTTATTTTTTACCCAACAGTGCTAGTTAAAAGACATTAGCTGATACTCACATCATCTTTACAAAATAAGTATCAGCATTTTATCCCCATATTACAAAAGATGAGAAATGAAGTTTAAGTAGGAATCAAAGCTCAGGAGGTGCCACTCTCATTGGAAGGGGTCTCCTCCACTCCGGTTATATGATCACTTACCATACTAGACATAGTCCAGCACAGGTGTGGAACATGCTGTACTCAAAATAACACTGGATATGGTGAGGCTTTGATTGCAACTATCCTGCCTCTGCCAGCTACATCCCACAGGGGTTTCTACAGGGAAGCAGAGCCTGGGGGACCCCTTTAACTTCAGCCAGCATCAGTCAGTGGTCAGACTGAGGGGCTTGGGCTGGTGCACCCTCCTGCCCCAGACAAACACCACTGTATCCTTTAAACCCTGACTACAACAGCCCCTAGCCCTTGGGATGGAAAATGGGTGGGACTTTAAATGAGTAAGCTTGTGTTGTAGTGAGCAGAGGTCCTGGCAGCCAGCCAGCTGCCCTGTGGATCCACTCACATTCCCTCCCAATGCAAAGAGCTCATTGGCATCCTTAGCTACAACTGCTTTCCACAAAGGGTCATCATCCAGGGAAAGACCTCGGAAACCCTTCCTTGGAATGTGGGAGAGGAAAATGAATGTGGTCATTCAGCTTCGAGCAAAGAAAATGCACTTAGGAAAGGAAATGGATGGTATTATTAAAACAATGTATAGTATTTATACCTAGCTGTTATTATTAGAAGTACCCAAATAATAAAGCATAACATAGCATTACAATAGCGACCAGGACATTAAAAACAGTAACTGTGATCAATACAGAATTACAGAAGCAGTAATTGTGGTTTCAGACTATCCTGATCAAGCCCCTGTAGACTTCTGCATACTTGCTATGTGATCTAATGAACTTCTGTTTCTACCAAGAACAAAAATAAAATGATCACATGAAAAACGCAACGTGCTGCCAACACAAGTTACCAGGAGGGCTGAAGTTCACATGGAGTGTTTAGGTAAAAAAAAATGCAGAAAATAAAAAATTAAATAAATACGTTGAACCCTTTAATCCTTAGTAACTCCACATTTAGAATGTT